AGAGCAGCAGATAATGACACCAAGAGATAATCATGGGTCAGGGTATGGATAATCTCAAAGATAACTGGATTTTATGCAGACCTCTTGAAAAGTTCTAAGCAAGCAAGGACAGTGGTCAGATTTTCCTTTGAGATGACTATCTCTGATGGTGTGGTTGGGTAATGGTTGAAGACAGATTAGGGACTAGTCATCTGGGAAACTCTCAAGAGCACCTGTCAATAAGGAGCACTAAAATGTCATTGGGCATGTAATTAAATAAAAATCACTTTTATCAGAACTTCTATATGGGCATGTAGGTCATACTTAGAAAGCATGGCCTGTGGAAGTGCACAACTTCAGCTTGCATCTCACCTCACTGAGCAAATTCTTTCAAGGTAAAGAGGACTAGGGCTGCTACAGGAGAGGACAGGATGGACAAGTGTCGTGAGAAGGTAAACCTCTTACAAATCTTGACATACCCATTTCCACTCAACCATTCCTCTCCAGGTTCTGGAAGTGTGGCACTCATTCAGGTAGGTGCTCGAGCCAAAGCCCAGAAACCCTATTGAGTCTCCCGTGTGTTAGATTGCAAAAATGGTCTCAAATGCTCATCTTTCCCCACATCTATGACCTTTTCCATGGGATGCTGTAGTTCTTCTCACTGAAGACTAAAGAGGCAAAGGCTAATTTCACATTCTTCAAAGTCAGAGTTGGCCTCCTGGCTTATTTTTGGCTAACAGAAGGTAGTAGTAGACAATGTATGGGTTCTGAGACTTAACCTTAACCTTCTATTCCTATTCCTACTTGTCCTCTTTCACCTCTGCTTTTCCTAGAAAATTGCCCAGCCTAGCCTACCAAAGAGGAGTCATGGGTAGCAAAGACTAGCAACCCTGCTTATCCCTACTAAGACCTAGATCAGCCAACAGCCAGGCAAACTCTGATGAGAGCAAGTCTAGACATATCAGCAAATCTACCTACCTAATCAACCACTCCAGACCCTTATTCTTGTATGAGCCTGAGGTTTGGTGTTCAATACTTATACTACAATATTAGCAGCAGATAATTTTATATACTTTACTCCATTTCTTTATATTCTAAAGTATCAGTCTATCTTGGGAGTCTTGTAATTTCTACCTACAAAACCGATCTCAAATCTACCTACTTTTTTGTATCTGCTTGGTTCCAGTCTAGTCTAAGAACTTTCATCCATCACCCCATCTATAAGTTTCCCTACTTCCATGGTGAACATTTCAAATCCATTTTTCAAATATCAGTGAAAGTGATTTATTTTCAAAACACAAGTCAGATCTCTTCAGTCATTACAATACATAATATCGTTTAATGCTTTCTCATTGCTCTTGTAACGCAATCAAACCCCCTCAGTATGACCCACAGGCCCTAAATTTTCTGCCTAATACCAGGACGAAACAGTAGCTTTTATTATATTCTCTAACATAATTTTTTCAAAGAAATAGGGAATAAGTTTCTATTTAGAAATTTTTACTTGCAAAAAGGTGTTTAGCTATTTTTTAACAAAGGCTTTCATTTACTTTGCAAAACAGAAAGAGAGAGAAAGAGAGATATTGAAAGAAAGAGATTGATTTTTCCGTCTTCTGGATCATCCCCAAATGACCACAAAAGCCATGGCTGGGTCAAGCCAAGGCCAGGAGCCAGAGTCCAATCTGCATCTCCCATGTAAGTGGCAGGGATCCAAGTATTTGAGTAATCAGCTGCTGTCTCCCAGACTCCACACCAGCTGGAAGCTAGACTAGAAGCAGGGTAGCCAGGATTTGAACTAAGGACTCCAATATGATATGCAGGCATCCCAAGCAGCAACTTAATCACTGAGCCAAAAGTCCACCCCTGTTTTGCTCTTTTGGTTCATAAAATATCATTTTGGTAAATATACCAAAATATATTCAAATTAAACCATTTCATTTAAACACACAGAAATTTAACATGATGATCTGATTTAACAAAGCAACAAAAAATTAAGGTGAAGAATATTAGAGGATGAAGGAGAGGAAAAGTAACACTATGTTGGAGAACCAGTGATTCACACTGAGACTACAAAAGAATGAAGTGGAAAAGAAGCCTACATATGGGCTTGATGAGCAACAAGGTCAAAGTGAAGCTTTAAAAGGCTATAGTACTGCACATCTCTAATTTCATACCAAGGTGAATAGAAGATAGGCTACAACCAAGGTAGGCAATATTACCTGGTAGATTACACATAAGATCCAACTTCCTGTGAGTGGACTTTGATAAGTACTACCTAATGTTTGCATAGAACTTTTTTTGGCTATAAAATACTTTTGTATCTTTCCCTGCCTTTTGCCTAAGAAGTCAAGGTTTAAAGAGGGTTAAAGCACACACATTAGTTTTCTTCGTGACTCTATCCAAGCACACTAAGTTGATGACTCACACAACCTGTGAATCTGTAAGTCTTCCAGGATATGTAGTGCCATGATTTGTACCATTAAAAGAAATACCTTTCAATGAGCTGACTTCTAGTATCTATATGTGTAAGTGGAAACAAAGAATATCAAAGACACAAAATAGTGCAAGAAAATCACTAAAATCAGTTATTGTTCTTAACATGGCTTCAAGCCCAGAACACTGAAGGCAGCACAGGGATACTTTAAAAAGACATTTGGGGCAGACTGAGACAGCAATAAGATCAGATTTTCATCTCCCAGGAGTGACCTTCAGTGTAAAGTGCAGTTTGTGTATGCTCCATCTAGCAGCTAGTGTAGGCTTTCTGGTTCCCACAAAGCCTTCTCCTTTGATCCCTTGTAATGGGATGAGGAAGGGTGAAAGTGAAGAAATAAAACTTGATTCTGGTATGCCTGGAATTTCCCTCCAGGGGACTGACGTTGTACAGGTATCACTGCAGGGCCATGGTTTCAGCCAGGAAAAGACTTCTGAGAAAATGAAATCCAACAAAGGTAGTACAGCACACAAGAAGTCCCTTTAACCTGCCCCTCCAAACCCATTCTTCTACCTTCTCCCATTTTGCATCCTTCTCCAGGAATGCCCCCTCCATTTTATCTCTGTGCCCACACTCAGTCTATCCTTCAAATTCCAACTCACTCTGCCTCCCTATGAATACTTCAAATATCTATATCTGCCAGTGACCTCTTTCTTTAATAAATAAATAAAATAAGGACTCATTCACTTTATCTACATCTCAGGAACATCACACACACACACACACACACACACACTCACGGAGTACACTATCAGTGAACTGTACCAGAAAGTTAGTAATCATACTTGTTTCCTCCTTTCATTTCCCCAGCATATTCAACAATCCCCAAGTTCAATCAAGCCTCCTCTGAAATATCTCTTGAGTCTGACCGTTTATAACCATTCCCAATGCATCCTCCTGGGTCAGCTATCTTCTCATGTTTGGTCTCTGTCTCCTTGTAGCTTATCTTGCCCAAATCTTCTCCCAATGTATTATCCACAATGTAATCCAAGTGATCTTAATATAATGTAAATTAGTTCATAACATTTCTGAATAAAACACTTCGGTGATTTCCCTCTCATGATATGGGTCTCTGTTTCTGTCCATGGTTTACATGGTTCTACAAAATCTGGCTTATCATTATCTCTAGTATAGTTCATCCCTGGCTGTTTGTTAACCCAAAGACTCTTCTATATTCCCTTTGACTCGCTGAATTTTATATATTCTTCCTACCACAGCTTAGCTCCTTCCTCTTTCTTCTGAGACTTATTAATACCAACATATGCTCTTCTTGACAGGTAGTATCATATACTACCTGGAGTCAGGGCTTTTAGTTGCAGATAGCAAAACCAATTCTACATAATTAAGCAGAACACAAATATTTAAAATATTAAAAAACTAGCAGAATGTCTGGGATGGCTAAGCATGGTGCTTGGAGGCTACCTAGACAGTAATGATGTCCTAGACTCCTCTGTAGAATGACTTTAGGGGGCCACTACAACTTTGGATAAACAGAGAAACTTGATAACCTGGCTCTGGGTGCTTCCACTTGGAGCTCTGCACTGCCTCTGATTGGTGGATTCCAGGTCACAGGCTGTGCCTTCACTGCAGCACAGGCTGGGAGAGTAAGCTTTTGTCATCCACCTTGGAGAGTGCTCAGATTGTTACATGGTTTGCTGGAAAAAAAGCTCCAGGATAAGTATCCATAACCACATATTCAATTCAAAATCATTCATGAGTTTCTCAAAAAAGTTTGAAGTTTGAAGCTGGTATAGAATATATCTTTTCTGTTTTTCAGGGCCTTTTTTGTGCAAAACAAGAAGGCTTACTAAAACTTTGCAAATATATGAATAAAAAGTGCCCTGTTCTTCCTGGGTGAAGACCACACAGTAGTAGACAGGGGGGTGAGGTCAAGAGCAGGCTAGAATAGGGACATGCAAGAATATGATGAGTTTCTTCCTCAACAAATCAAAAGGACCTGGCTGATGTTCTCAGCCTCATGGGAAGAATTTGAACACTCACTGGTACCAGGGAGGCAGCCGTGGAAGATGATAGGCACTACAATGTGTTTCTGTAACACTCTGCACTTTTCCAATCTTAACACTAACTGAATTTATATTGAATAGCTTGTTAGTTTCCTGTCACCCTTACAAAGAGATAAGGTCTGTGAAGGCAACCCCCATCTCTACCTGGTCTGTGGGTGATGTATAAGAGATATTTTTAAATATAAGTGGATGAATAAATGCACAAGTGAGTGAGAGTGAAAATGAAGGCATAGAGGTAGTACAGGGTTGTGGTTGCCAGAGAATGGTGCCAGGGTCCAGTGGGATGACTTGGATCAGCTCTGGCCTGCCACTGGCCACTCCCACACAGCTCCTTGCTTTCTAATCCGCTTCTCATTCTCTTTGGGAAGGATTGAGGTCCCTGGAAAACAGCCAAAAAAACTGTTATGGGAACAAGGAGCCCAAATAAAGCCCAAGCATGCATGGGAGGATTTGAGTTCTGAAAGCCACTTCTGTTTCCTCTCCCTCAGCTGAGGGGGCGGGGAAAAGTTCTCAAAGCCATAACTCCTTTTACAGAGAATTAGAAGGCATATAAAGGCCCTGGCTGAGGACTTACTCCCTCAATCTGCACTTGCTGCAAGAACTCTCGATCCTCCACTGACAGAAAATGTCTATCCAGTGAGTATCTCTGGGAAATTTTTTAAAATGCTGTGGTGATGGCATTATATGGTCAAGGGGCGATTTCAAGGGCTCCTGAAGACAAAGCGTTGTTAGATAGCCTATTTGCCTATGACCCTTGTGTCTAGCTGGGGGAATGTTTTGCTATTTATATATTAAAGCAAATATCTAGACTTCAGGCCTAAGTTATGGTAGGATTCGGGGGACTTAGACTGGGGCTAACAAGCAGTTATAAGCACAAGGATCTCAGGCAGACATGGGTTCCCCTTCTCATCCAGTCATTTCCTATGGGCAGATTACTTAACTTTTTTAAATCTAGGTTTTTCCTTTTATATGGAAGTGATGTAACAACAATACTTATCACATTGTGTTATGAGATTTAAATGAGCTCATACCATGCAAAGTTTTTTTTGTAGTAAGCACATAGCACATACTAAATACAATGTAATTGCTATAGTGAGACTGTTAAGAGCTGTCACTCTAAGAACCTGTAATATGGAGCCAAAATGAGGTGTTAGGAAACAAGCAAAAATATGGAATCTGAATCTCCTGTCTATTTTTATAAACTACTATATAGCTCATATGGATTGGTAAAGAAATTAGATGATGGGAAGAAATGATAGTATAGTAGGTGAATATTGAACAGTAAGGTACTGGACCCAAAAAGCTGTCATCCCCAACCACAGGAGAGAGAGGAAGGAGGCAAGCAATCAGCGATGCAGTCAGCTCAGAGTATTGGTTGAGCTAAGATCTCTCTGTGGGAAGGACCCTGTCTAGGACTGCCATTCAGGAAGAAAAGTGGCAGCCACAGTATTAGTAGATTAGTCTTCACAAATATGGGAAAACTGCTGAAGGTAAGATTAAATCCACTGAGACTGCTGACATTAAAGAGAGCCCATTTCCTCTGACCTGAAAGAGGGAGCACTGAGCTGAGCCCCCTTCTGAACACAAGCATGCTTGTCTCCCTCTAACCCTATGTGCTCCCTGACACAGGCTTTGGTGAACTGGCACAGAGCAAAGGGCACCTTCTGTCCCAGAGTGCTGTCTGTCTTCTCAGGCTTCTGTGAGTATCAGCATGGGCTCCTTCCTCATTACCATACCTTTTCAGAGTCGAGCATCCTGCTGGTGGTTACAAGAAACTGTTTGAAACCGTGGAAGAACTATCCTCACCCCTCACAGCTCATGTTACAGGTTGGTCTTGCTGAGGTCTCTCTGCTCCAGCCTCTCACTCAGTGAGAGTGCTGGTCTTCCTCTAGGACACAGGGAGGGGAATGGGGAGGCATGGGGTTTTTTTATACCAAGAACCCATTTCCTCTCATTTAACTTCATTTCTGTAATGTAGAAAAATAAGACTTAACTGGGATTCCTTGAGGACCAACACTACACTTTTGTCATCTTCACACCGACAGCACCTAGCTCAATGCCTGGCACATAGTAAATGTCCTATAAATGTCTGTTCCACTGGTGTCTGAATAATCTGGTAACATTGCATTGAAGGGTAGTGAAGTTCATGCCCCTTCTATTGCAAGAGTGTTGATTCTGGTGTCAGCAAGATGTAGGTGCTACTCACAGCTCTATGAGTCCACTATCTGTGAACTCTACAAATAACTTAAAACTTCTGCGCCTCACCTACCGAAACTGAAATTTACTTTGTAAGGATATAGTGAAGATTAAATGAGGTTATGGAAATAGAATGATCCAACACAAAGTGATCAAGTGACATTGGTTGTCTTTGCACAGAGACATTATGTGGTCCTAATCTCTTCTCCTGGGGTCACGTAGTGGTATAGGGATGGTCAAAACCTTGGCAATTCTCTCTTCCCAGTTTCCCCTTCTGTAGATGAGCCAGGTGCTTTCTCAACTGGATTCCGATGTTAACAATCTGGACAATAGTAATCAAATTACCATTGTACCTTTTGGTTAAGCCATGCCTTCTCTTCAAATTTTCATATCTTACCAATTGCAACTGAGCTATAGGAAGTAATCCATTTGAAATCCATAAGCTGTACTTTGGAAATTTATATTCATTAAATAAAAGTTAAAAAAAAAAAAGAAAATGAAATACATCCTCTGTGATAGTCTGCAGCCTGTGGGAAAAAAAAAAAATCCTGGTAAGGATTCAGCAAATACTTCCCAATGCTGTATTTTTCAAAAGACATAAAACTAACTGGAAAAACTCAAAGTCCTAACAGCCTATACTGGGTTCCCCTCATTTTGCAGATGAACAAACTGAGGCCAGAGATGGCATGTGCACATTGTGAACCAACATCCTGGTTCCCAGCACTCTGCCCTATGTTCTTGCTGTTACTGCAGATAAATTTAATCTGGACAGTGGTTCACACTCTCGGAGGATGTAGCTCTAAAATTTAAAAAGCCAGTATTCTGGTTGTTTCATTTAAATGGTTTCTTTTATAGAGACATTTTTAAATATCTTGGTCCTCACTCCAAATCAACCCTTCTATCTTTCAGTTGTACAAAATGCATCAAGAAAATTGAAATTCTCTTTAAAAGTGAGGTGACAAAAAAAGTGATGTATATGAGTGAAATTGACATTTTGAGATTTGATTATTGTTTATAGCTCTGTCTAGCTCTGTCTATACTCCTTAGGAACAATGGTTTTTTTTTTTTTCCTACTTACTACTTGTTGAATTCTTTATTAAGTGGCGGATAAAGCTTGTGATTTTAAAGTACACTGAAAGTATGTCATTGCAAAAATTAAAAGAAAAATAAGAAAGGAAGGAGGATTTGAGTCAGGGAGGGTGGAAGTATCATTATATTCTTAAAATCATATATATGAAATACATGGATTTGTTCCCTTTATATAAATAAAATTAAAAAGAAATGGAAAAACAAATTGTTCCCTTTATGTAAATAAAATTAAAAAGAAATGGAAAAACAAATAAATAAGTAAATAAATAAATAAAAATTAACATTAGGAATGAAAATGAAAAAGTGACTTTAAAAAAAACGTGAGCTGGCCAAAAGGCAAATGGATTGGTATCTGGATAATTTTATTAGGTGGAGAATACCATTGATCTCAAGATGCTTTTCCCTCATTCCTTCCAACGCTTTGTTCAAACGCTGAAGTGTTACACATTCTCTACCACTTGGCCTCCTAATGAAAGTAGACTCAAGCCAGCAGAAAGTATGAAGTGTGTCCAGCATGAGAGCTGGAAGCAGACATCACTGCCAGCTTTGTTAAAAAGATTCTGCCCACTCAGGCTGCTAATAATCGCTTTGCCCTACCAAGGACAAGTCCAGTCCAAAGGCAGGGGTCAGAAGCAATATTCTGTGTCTCACCTTCGCCACAGGCAGGATCCCCCTGTGGCTCACTGGAAGTCTCCTTCGATGTGGGCCAGGACTCTTTGAAGTTGGATCTGAGCCATTTTACCACCTGTTTGATGGGCAAGCCCTGCTGCACAAGTTTGACTTCAAAGAAGGACACGTCACCTACCATAGAAGGTAAAGGAACACTCGGTCTACTCTGCTTCTAGGAATTGTGGAGACTCTCTCAGATCCTATTCCCCATGTGGCGCTGCTTCTTAATCTCCTGAACCCAGCAGAAGACCTAAACTGAAAGGACTTCCAAAAGTTAGTAGGAAATCTAGTTAAAAGCTAATGTTATTTTTGGTGCAAAAAATTTTGAAATCCATGCAGAGTTTTTTTTTGCCATATGCATGTGCCATGAACTTTTTAGACTTCTCATGTACCCACCTCCGTCTCAGGAGAATCCCCCTGGGTTAGTGTATGGACACCAGGAACCCTACTATGGGATAAAGAAGAAGCTAATACAAGAGTTTTGGGGTCTGACATAGTTGACTTCAAATCCTATGTCCACCAGACACCATTTTCCTAGGTGGCTAACTTTGATAGGACATTGACATGTTATTTTTGTTTCTGTCATCTGTGAAATTGGACAGATATTTAAATTTGTTTCATAAGCCTGTTACAGAGACTCAATAAGAACACTACCTAGTACATAAGAAACAGTAATAGTAAAAGTCACTATCATGGTTATTATTGTTATTATAACTATTAGCAATCTTGTCTTCTTTCTTTTTTTATAATCAGAAAGAACTAGGAAGGAAAAAGGGGAGCCACAGAGGAAAGAAGGACCTGGTACATCATGGTGTTCCCAGTAACAGAAATTTCGTAAAAATGAAAGATTGTTACTGAAAATTGAGGTCATCCCTCCAGGAGGCCTCCATTAATACCACAGTAAAGATTTTGTCTCCTACTTCAGTGCTCAGGCCATTTCAAGGCTCCATAGATCACCACAAATTTTAGGCAATTTGAAGAGACATCAAAAGGTAAAATAATTGGAGATTTAAAGTAGTCAGGATAACCTGGGCTGTAATAGAAGATAAATAGTTCATGTCAAAGCAAAAATTAGCTATGAAAGCAGAGTTTAGCATTCAGACCTTGGTACCTTTTCCTTTCCATGAAAGTGCAAAATCAGATTTTAACTGACTCTTCACATGAGAAATCCTGACCAATGTATGCAACCAGTGTGGGATATGGTTCAGAAGATCTGCCTGTGCGAGAGATTGAATTCAAGACTGCCTACTTTTTAAAGTAGTAAATTGAATTTTAAAGTTGAAAAAAAGGGAGGGACAGTGGAAAATTGAAAGGAATTCAACCAAGCCGGCGCCGTGGCTCACTTGGCTAATCCTCCGCCTGTGACGCTGGCACCCCTGGTTCTAGTCCCGGTTGGGGCACAGGATTCTGTCCCGCTTGCTCCTCCAGTCCAGCTCTCTGCTGTGGCCTGGCAGTGCAGTGGAGGATGGCCCAAGTGCTTGGGCACTGCACCCTCATGGGAGACCAGGATAAGTACCTGGCTCCTGGCTTCGGATCGGCACAGCGCGCTGGCTTCGGCCATTTTGGGGGTGAACCAACAGAAGGAAGACCTTTCTCTCTGTCTCTCTCTCTCTTACTGTCCACTCTGCCTGTCAAAAAAAAAAAAAAAAAGGACTACAACTTGACACATCATGTCTTATAATTTCCCACCAAGGATACCTTGATAGGTGCTGGGCTACAGAGTAGAGGACCTATATGAACTACTTATGGGGCTGCCTGGTGTGATATGGAAATTTCACATTGTCTGGCTCTAGTCAACTTGTGTTTTAATCCAGCTTAGTAACATATGCCAATCACTTAACTTCTGTTAACCTCAGATTCCTCGTCTGCCACTGTGAGGGTCAGAAGACATAAGTGTAGGTGTCTGCATCGTGGTGTAGTAGGTTAAGCCTCCACTTACTACACCAGCATCCCATATGAGAGCACTAGTTGAAGCCTGGCTTATCCACTTCCAACCAAGCCTCCTGCTAATGTGCTTGGGGAAGCAACAGAAGATGGCCCAAGTACTTGGGCCCCAGGCCATCTTCACATCAGACTGGCCCAGATCTGGCTGTTTCAGCCATCTGGGAAGTAAGCTAACAAATGGAAGATCTCTTTCTCTCTCTCTCTTTGCCTTTCTCTCTGTCTCTCCCCCTCTCTCTGTTGCTCTGCATTTCTGAATATATAAATAAATAAATCTTTAAGAAAGAAGAATATATACATTTAAGCTCTTGGCACATTGCCTCTTTCCCCCATGGTGACTCCAAGAGAGGGAGCTGATAATGTTCTTTATTCTTTGTGTTAGGTGTTTACGATTCTGTTTTAATGAGAACACACACAGTGACCATGTTAAATTCCAAGGGATTGCTCTGATTATCTCTGTCTGTGGTCTTTTCCCGTGTCTCAATGTCCTTCAGGTTTATCCGCACTGATGCCTATGTACGAGCAATGACTGAGAAAAGGATCGTCATAACAGAATTTGGCACCTGTGCTTTCCCAGATCCCTGCAAGAATATATTTTCCAGGTTACTGAAACCAAATTGCAAGTTATTAAAGAATTTTACATTTGCCCTTTTTTCTCATGACTTGAAAGTTATTGGACTGAAAATTTCATTTGCTTCTTCAGGTTTTTTTCTTACTTTCGAGGAGTGGAGGTTACAGACAATGCCCTTGTAAACATCTATCCAGTGGGGGAAGATTACTATGCCTGCACAGAGACCAACTTCATTACCAAGATTAATCCAGAAACCTTGGAGACAATTAAGCAGGTAGGACAAAGTGCTCAGTTTACCTCTCTCAGGAAATTAAAATTTGGAACTTAAAACTAAGTTAGTTATGGAATCCGGTGGAAAGAATGTAAAAGTCAGCTTAAGTTTCAAATCTTTCTTATCACCAACTACTAGTGATGCAACATAGAGAAAATTTTCTTTCATCTACAACATTTTAAATATTTATATGGATAGGAATAAAATCTTATCAATTACCTAACGTAGCCATTCATTCATTTATTCATAACACAAATATTTATTGAGTGATTTCTTTGGACCAGAACTTACACTAACCATAAGAAATACATAAATGAATATGGGTCATTGCCAATACATGGTCCTTGCCCTCCATGACTTTTATATGCTGGCATGGACATGGTACATAAAGTGCTCAGAAACTTGTAGCTATTAACACTAAAAACTCTTCCAGTCTCAGTTTTAGGCAAATAGTTCTAGGTGCCAATTCTTCCCCTTTTTGACTCTTCTCATTGGAAATAAAGCTATTTCTTAACTGAAATAGCATACAGCAAAATATCATATATATCACAAAGTGACAAAACTTTGTTGAGAATTTAGGCAATCTCAATGCAGCATTTCTTAAGATAGGCCCACATTTCAACCAGTATTTATTAAGACATCCCTGTTTACAAAACATTCTTCTTATCTGCAGAAGCTTAGCATTGGATAGAAAAATCAAACAAGTACATAACTTTAATAGGACACAACATGATACGAGCCCTCTTTGAAAAGGAAAATCTAGGACAGCACATCTAAGATAGATTGCTTCTGTAAGTAGTCGGGGATGCAAGGCTGAGTAGATGAAGGATAGATCAAGGAAGTCTCAAAGGGCTTGCACTTGACTGTAAGGTAAAGAAGACATGGGACTTCAGTGAACTTAGAGAACAACATTCTATATGAAGACAGTAACATGAAAAAAGGAATAGAGGTGGGAAAATAAAAAATTACTCTTTAGTTAGTGTCTAGACTTGTAGTACTTCTTAATAGAAGTACTAGTGGCATGTGCAAGAGGTAACTTTGCACTCTGGGAACTGTCTCATACATAGCAGAGGTTTCAAGTCCTTGGCCTCATCCATTAAATATCAATCGTGTCCTTAACCATGGTACAAACACAAAATACCTCTGAAATTTTTAACTCTCCCAGACGTGAGTTGGGGGAAAGTAGAGATACTGCCACTTAAGAATTAGTCATTAAGCTTATGCGATGTCAAGGGAAATCATATGGAAAAGGGTAGGATAAAACAAAAAGCTTGATTAATGGTAGAAATATTGGAATAAGTTGTTTAGACAATGAGAAACTGCTGAAAGGTTCTTGAAGAAGTGGTAGAAGCAGAACTGTACTTTAGGATATTTAACTGGGAAGCTACATGTGGAAGCTCATTTAGAGAAGAACTGAAGCTGAATTTCTAAACCATCCACTTGACTGTGGTAGTGAATTTGTATTCTAGTTGCATGGTACATTAATTGAAATGCAGAAGCTATGGTATGGCTCCAGAAGAGATTTTATTAGGGGTTACATTCCATTGTGAATAGAACTACCTCCTGATTTCATATAAAAATGTAGTTTGAAAGATTGAGATTTCATCTGTTTACTATCACTGAAATAGCCTCCCAACCACTGCCTTTCCTCCAGCCTGATTTTCTTAAAAAGAATTTCCTCAAGACAGCAGAATCAGTTTTTCTAAAATTCGGAAATGATTGGGCTTTTAGCATAGTGGTTAATATCCTGCTCTTCTATACTGGAGTGCCTATTAATGCACACCCTGAGAGGCAGCAGGTGATGACTCAAGAACCTGGATCACTGCCACCCGTGTGGGATACATGACTTGAGTTCCCAGCTTCAGCCCTGGTCTAGCCCTGGGCATCACAAGCACTTGAAGAGTAAACCAGTAATGAGAGAGCTCTCTCTCTATCTCTCTTTCACTCTCTCTTTCTCCCCTCTGTCTCTGTTCTCTGATTTTCAAATAAATAAAATAAATAGCTTTAAAACATTTAGTACAAATGCAAATGTGTCACTCCATGTAGAGCATCATAGCTTCCAAGGTAAAGTCCAAATAAAGGCCTTTATGGCCGGCCTGTCTTATTTCCCCTCCCCCACCCATTCCTTTACATCAATCATCCCATAACATAGGCTATTTCCAAATTCTGTCCCTTTACATTGGGACTCCTACTCCCTGGCACACGTCATCCTGGTTAAACTCTATTTACCTTTGAAGCATTCGCTGGAGCCCTGACACCTGAAAAACCTGACGAATCCCACAGTCTAGGTTAGATTGTGTCTCTTTAGATACGTTTTTTGTATTTAGTGCACGTTATGCCAGTTTATTGGTCTAATGCAGTGCTAGCCAATAGAACTTTATTTCACTATGAAAATTTTCTATTTCTTCGTTGTCTAAGTGCTATCTATGACTTAAAATGTGGCTAATGTGACAGAGGAGCTGAATTTCAAGTTTTATCTGATTATAATTAATTTAAATTTAAATTACTACAAACAACTAGTGTCTACCATGTTGTATGGCACAGGTCTGAGCTGATTTTCTTGAAAGCAAGAATCTTTGTTCTCCTAGACCCTGGCACAGTGCTTGACACAAACTAGAAGCTCAGGGAAAACTAGATGAGTAATTGAGTGTTGAATGACTGAATGTCTTGTTTACTATTTAAATAAGGGTACTAAGGGGTCCCTATGATTTAAAAAATAGTCTCTGAATCAAATAGAAAGAATCTGGGTTAGATAAAAAATGTACTCCATTAATTATTCACAGAAAAAGTCTTGATCGAGTAGGCCATAGGTAGAAATTCTAGTGCTGTTTGCCAGCATGTGTCTCTGTACCCTTGAGCAAGACATTTGACCTCTCTGGGACCTAATTTCTCCTTCTGAACACTAGGCGATTTTTGTGATATATTTGTAGTTCTGAATTTCTTAGGAATTAAAATGCTGAATTCTCTCTTCAGAAATGTTTGCATTAATTGGAGGAGATTCATGGATTCCTTCAAGTCTATTTAGATTAATATTTTCTATCATGAGGTCCCTTTCAATTCCCAACACATAATCTATGCAACATACTATGTTTGGTACTTAGATTATACCATACAAACTTACCATTTTTATAAATTGAAAATTATTGACTATCAATGATTTCACAAAATTCAATGCAATACAGTAAGAAGAGTATAAAGAAGACACAGGATTCAAATTTATCATTGTTTGTGCAAAAAAAAAAAAAAGGTAACTAACCAGAGCCATCTATGGTATATATCAAGTGAGGGGCACAGTCACAGAGAACTCCAGATTTAAGACACTCGCAGAAATAGTATGGGGGTTGGAGGAGAGTTCAGCGCTGAAGGTAGGACTTCAGGCAAATCTGAAAAAGGGTGAGATCCACAGAGATGGAAAGAAAGATAACATGCCCTTGGAGTGAGATTGCAAGAGATAATGGTGGGGTCAGACCTAAGGTCAAAATAAATGCAGGGACCAGCGCTGTGGCTTAGCCAGTAAGGCTGCCACCTGCAGTGCTGGCATCCCATATGGGCACCGGCTTGAGTCCCGGCTGCTCCACTTCTAATCCAGATCTCTTCGATGGCCTGGGAAAGCAGTGGAAAATGGCCCAAGTCCTTGGGCCCCTGCACCCACATGGGAGATCTGTGTCATAGCTCCAGCTGTTGCAGCCATCTGGGGAGTGAACAAGTGGATGAAAGACTTCTCTCTCTCTCTCTCTCTCTCTCTCTCTCTCTCCCTCTTTCCCTCCCTCTCTGTAACTCTGCCTTTCAAATAAATAAATATTTTTTAAGAAGTAAATGTAATATTTCTCTTAAGACACATGATGCTTGCTCTCCTTTCATAGGTTGATCTTTGCAATTATGTCTCTGTCAATGGAGCCACTGCTCACCCCCACATTGAAAGTGATGGAACAGTTTACAACATTGGTAATTGTTTTGGGAAAAATTTTTCAATTGCCTACAATATTGTAAAGATCCCTCCACTGCAAGCAGGTGAGTTTACCAATCTTTCTTCTTCTGAAATCAAGTATCAGTATTGTGAGGTCACTGGAAAGACATGATACAAGATCAGAATAACAGGATAACATTATATACTAGTTAAGCTACCCTCAAACTTTAGAACAATTACTCTCATCCATACAGCACAGCAGGAAATAACCACTAGAAAATACAGAAAACAGGCTGTCAAGTTCTATTCTACAACATTTAAAGATCTAGCATATAGGATCACATATGATTTAGATTCAAATCCAGCAAACATTTATTGAGCAGTTATTCATGTGCTAGGCAAAGTTGAATTGAACATGTATACATGTATATGTGCATAACAGCATACATATGTATATATGATTATACTACCTATTTTCCATTTGATTTCCAAAACTACAAGTAAATCTATTAACTCTTAATTATACTTTGGAGAACAAATTTGCAGTAGGGAAAGTACTCTAGAATTCTCCATTTATCCTCTATTAACTGCCAAGTTCCTTGATTATTATCTTAATGATAACTGAATTCATGATTATTTGAATTCATATGGATTTTGGCATAGTATTGTTTAATATAGTTCCCTAAGTATAGCACGTCTACCAGCAGTGTCATCTGAGAGCCTTATAGAAATATTAATATTGCGTCCCACCCTAGGCAGACTGAGAGAAATTCTGACAAGGGCATCTGGTCTACAATCAGTATTTTAAGAAACATTTAATATGATTTTTCTGATGCACACTAAGGTTTGAGGATCATTGACTTTGTAGTAAATGAACTTTAATGTGCATAAGAATTATTGTACAGAGTTATTGACACAAATCCTTCTATACTATCCTTCCCAGGCATCTTAAAATATTGTCAAAGGCATTTTGAACATACTGACATTTTGCCTTAATCCTCTGACATAAAACCTAACTCCAGCTTTTGCAAGATGCGACTCCACTATATTCTGCATGCCACATCCCATTTGAGTTCACTTTTCCAAATCTGCTGCTATTTGGATTTTCCTGGGTGATTGCAGCTTCACATAAAATTTCTTTAAGAAATGCCAATAACCGAGAAAATGAAAATGAGCTCTGAAAAAGATCAAGATCTGAAAATGTATTTCTTTGCTTGTATAAGCTGTTCTAAATGCTTTGTATTTTAAAAAACAGAGGCTGTTCCAAAGCCTTTTAAAACCACTTTATTTCAGACAAGGAAGATCCAATAAGCAAGTCAGAGGTCGTTGTACAATTCCCCTGCAGTGATCGATTCAAGCCATCTTACGTCCATAGGTAACTTGAAGGCCTACTATGAATCTGCAGGAAAACTCAAGCTTAAAGATCTTCTTTGCCTACCTTTGATACCAATCCTGATCACAATGTTTCTTGCAGAAAACTAAATTTAAAAATAATTAATTTCAATTGACACTGTTGATTCATATAACTGAGCATACCTTGTGTACACATGTCTGTTTGTGGCTTGAGAATCAGCACTTTCATTAACAAGCCCATTTGTGTTTCTGAACAGTTTTGGTCTGACTCCCAACTACATTGTTTTTGTGGAGACTCCAGTCAAAATTAACCTCTTCAAGTTCCTTTCCTCATGGAGCCTTTGGGGAGCCAACTACATGGATTGTTTTGAGTCCAATGAAACTATGGGGGTGAGTCACATGTATGTTTCTAGGAATGCATGTTCCAAAATGTGTTCTTTCCCCCTTTTGTAGATGAATCAAGATATTTTCCTCATTTTTTTTTTTTTAGGTTTGGCTTCATATCGCTGATAAAAAAAGAAGGAAATACCTCAATAATAAATACAGGACATCACCTTTCAACCTCTTCCATCACATCAACACCTATGAAGAGAATGACTTTCTGATTGTGGATCTCTGTTGTTGGAAAGGGTAAGAAAGGACATCAGATAAATATTACATCTCCAGGTGCTCAGAGGAATTAGGAGTCTTTTACAGGGACACTGCTCTCAATGTTTAATCTGAATCACACTGAAAAGACAGAGGTATGCGTGAGTCAACAAATGTAATTGAAAAAGCAGTAGGAAGTTGAGGTGAACAGCAATATACACTGAGGATCAAAACTACGGTTAATGATTGAAAACGGATGGAGTCCATGAACCAGACCTGAAAGTAAAAGGTTCTATGACTTAAGAAGTGAACTCAAATTTGGCTCAAACTTGACAAGGTCTCTGGGGAGCCTTCAGTTCTGCTGCCTCTGAGATTAGGACAAAGAGACATGCGTTTTTCAGACCAGCCAAGTCTCTGGAAACATAATGGCCCCTAAGGGCACAAACGGAATGTTGAGTAGAAGAAAGAAAGTATCTGAGGCTACCATTACTTAAATATATCCATGGGGCAAGTTTCTTTGCTTTTTTATTTTCCCCCCTACTGTGGGAAGGAGGAAATGACTGTAAGATACCTGTGCTATTAGCAATTTCGGGATTGTGGAATAAAGAGTAGGCAGGCACCTGTGCTTTTGAAAAGCATGAGTCATCTCTCTAAAATTATTTATAACTGTGCTCATGTTTGACTTCTTATTTTCGCAGATTTGAGTTTGTGTATAATTACTTATATTTAGCCAACTTACGTGAGAACTGGGAAGAGGTGAAAAAAAATGCCAGAAAAGCTCCCCAGCCTGAGGTTCGAAGATACGTACTTCCCTTGAATTTTGACAAGGTAACCTCCCACTACAGAGCTTCATAGTTCAGATATAACCAAAAGTCTTGAAATTTCAGAGATGGAAGAAACTAAAAATAAACTAATTAAACTCACATCCTTTCACAAACAAGGAAACTGAAGCTCAGATGAGTGAAGCAACTTTGGCAAAAGCCAATGGCAACACAACAATATGAGAAATAGGTTTTGTGATTATGAATCTGCTCTTTCAATCACAAAATACTTTGCAAAATGTACTTTCTTTGTGAATAATACAGATCCATTGATTCTTAGGATCCTTTGTCAATACTACAAATAATTTAACTTAAATAATTTGAAATTCTGGAAAGATGAAATATCAAAAATTACCTTTCAGAGAAATGATACCATTGTTTTGTTTTTTCTACCTGTCTCCTGAAATATCACTAGAGGATAAAAATCATTAATAGCATTAGATAATCATGTCATCTCTATTTTGTCTTTCTGTGATTGTCTTGTTTAGAACACCACAGTAACATCAGAATTTTAGTGTGATGGAAATGCCAAATTCAAGAAAAATGTAATTTTCACATATACATGCATGAACATACACTCTCTTATATGTCGATCTAACCCTAGTTGCACACTAGGGGCTGAGGCAGCTAAACAGAATGCAAACACATTGTACCAATGGCTTAGCTCAGATGTTGTGGAAAATAGACCCAATTTTAAACCAGATACTATTTCCCTTAATTATGCTTGTGATCTCTATAAAAACTAAGGAAGTGGAAGAAGCTGAAATTGGGCATTACACATAGGTAAAAGGGCTCCTACAAAGGAACAGAGGCAGGTGAGTATTTGGTACAGTGGTTAAGATACCACTTGGGGGCCATATTCCTTATCAGAGTACCTGGGTTTGAATCTCAGCTCCACTCCTGTTTCCAGCACATTGCTAAAGGCAGCAGGTGAAGGCTCAAGTACTTGGGTCTCTGCCACTCACTTGAGAAACCAAGGTTGAGTTCTCAGCTCTTGGCTTTGGTGTGGCACAGTCTCAGCTGTTGTGGTCATTTGATGGCATAAACTCGTGGATGGGAGATATCTCTGTCTCTCAGTCTCTGTCTCTATCTCTCACTCTCTCCCTATCTCCCTTTCTAATAAAAATAAGCTTGTATAGAAGGTAAAGAGGAATTTAAAGTGCAAGAATTACTACTTTACTACTTAAACATAAAGTCATTTCTGGACTGGCTCATTATACACATGGGGAAATGGGTACAGGGCAGAGGAATTGAAAAGATGGGTTAAAGTGCTATTGTAAAGGGCTTTATAAATGTGTGTCACAGCAATGGCATGCAGCCATGTTTGCCCAATGTGCTCAGGTCTGTGTTTCTAACTCTGGTGTCATCATGAGGGACAGAGTGGAATGAGGGGAGTTTAGAGGCTAGAAGACCCACTAGATGATGAATGCAAAGAGATGAACAAAGAGGATAAATACGTGGATTAACAAATGGCCATTGAAAGATAAAAGAAGATACAAAATAGAGAACTAAATACCGGTAGAATCAATAGGAGTTGGAGTCTCATTATATGTGAGGGGTAAAGAGAAAGGAACATGGGATAACTTTCAGATTTCTGCCCCAAGCAGTCAATTGGATATTGCTACAATTCACTGAATAGGAAGCATAAAAGTAAGAGGAATGGTTTCCTGGAAAAAGAGTAAGATTTATTGTACAGGTGTTGAGTTGAAACCCAGAGGAAATGTCCAATAGGGAGCTGGTATGCATGGATCTGGAGTTCAGAGAAGAGGTCAAGGGGAGGGATCTGTCTGGGTGCCCTAAGCACTCTTGATATTCCCTTTGGAAGCATATCTGTGGCTTGGAATTGAGTGACCATAAAATACATATCACATAAATGAGTCAGCTGATTTCCACAAACTCTTAACTGTGTTAATAAAATCACAATCATCTTTAAAGAATGATGATTTAAAGAATCATCTTTAAAAGATGATCAATAAATTTCAGTACCCACATTCTAACTTGAAGAAAAAGGAAAGATTTTTCTAAATGTGTGGCCATCATTTCCTGAAGAAAGATCACTCAAGTATAGAATTAGGAACTTCAGTGATGATGAAAAATGCCTAATGTCACCCAAATCCTTGCCTTCTCTTTCTCCCAACAGGGACTGAACAGCTGCTACAACAAGTATCACACTGGTTGTCTCAGTGGGAGAGTCAAAGGATACATTGCTTATTCTCATGGATGCCATTACCTAGTGTGGAAGGAAGATGATTCAGAAATGATAATGCATGTCAACATAGGATGAGAACTCTGAGACAGGGATGAATCGACTTATCTAGCCAGAAAATGGAGAAGCCATACTTGTTTGGGGAGATGTATGGAGCAGTTATTTGTAGCCTCAGTATTTTAGCAGATGGAGATGGGATTGAAGCAGAACAGTTGAAGACAGGAAGAACAGTTTGAGGAGAGAGCCAGAAATGGAGAAGCAGACAAGCAGGGAAAACTGCCTGCAATCCAACTGATTGGAACATGGGCAAAAGCAATAGAGGAGATGGGGTAAAGAGCTATGAAAGTGGGTTTTTTTTTTCAAGATTGGCTTATTTATTTGAAAGGCAGAGTTACAGAGAGAGAAGGAGAGACAGAAAGAGAGATCCTCCACTCACTGGTTCACTCCACAAATGGCTGCAATAACCATGGCTGGGCCAGGCCAAAGCCAGGAGCTTCATCCAGGTCTCCCACGTGCATGCAAAGGCCCAAGCATTTGGGCCATCTTCCTTGGTTTTACTAGGTGCATTACAAGAAGCTGGTTTGGGGGTGAAGCTGCCAGGACGCAAATCGGCGCCCTCATGGGATGGTAGCACTGCGAGCTGTAGCTTAACCGCTACACCACAACACTGGTCCCAAAAGTAGGTTGTTAATCTCAGAAGGACTTAAGGTCAGGCTAAGTGGTTTGCATTTTATTGACATGTAATGCAGAGACATGAAGATTTGTGAACAGAAGAAAAGCTGATAGTTACAGATATTGAAATGATATCAAGATATATAAAAATAGATAAATGAGAATGTAGTAGGGAGAAAATATTTTAGATTAATTTTTTTCTAAATGAAACTAATTTTTCCTTCTTTTTGAAATGAGGAATTCAATAGCCTGAGAATACATAGAAAGTCTCACTCTAACCCCTACCTTCATCTACTCCATTCCATTCACCCTCATTTCTTATTGGTAACTTTATTAGTATCTTCCTTGAGTTTTGTTTGTGCAAATATAAGAAAATATAAAATGTATGTATTCATATATATAATTATTATTTCATTTTCTGTTATACAAAATAATTTTCTATATTCACTGTGAGGATACAAAGATAATATTATAGATTTCTTATACTGAAGACCTAATTTATATATTTACTTGTTTATGCTATATTTATTTTTTTGAGATGACACATTTTTAATTTACATTATAATCAAATATTAATGGCTCCACTGAATAAAGAGTCCAACAAATAAAATATAAAACTATCATAGTCCAGCAGGAAAATAGGCAAGAGCTAGAAACAATAATCATATGAAAAAATGTTCAACTTCCCTCATATAAAGTAAATTTTAAATAGTCACAAAATAGTTGAAAGAGTATATAATTCTTATCAATTTGACAAAGATTTAAAGCAAAGTTTGACAGAGTATTGCATGTGCAGTAAAACATATACACACTGGCATTTCTTTCTCTTTTAAATAAAGTTTAGCTCCCACATATAAGAGAAATAAAGGCCTATTTTTAAAAAACCATGTAGGATAAAGAGAAACAATTCAACTAAAAACCACATAAATAATATGTTTGGCATAGACCTTTGTATTTATTCTGCACATGAATATAAATATGTGTGTATAAACACATCACTTTCTTCTTCCCAACATTGCCATAAATGTTTTAAATGCCTATTTCACAAATCTCACAAAATGTATTTCTCTAACTATTCCTCTGCTACCATTCCTCCCTATCCTAAAATATTCTACTATTCACTCTTAATTCATAGTCAGTACCAGAAAACCCTGTGCATCATCTTCTCAGAATGTTTCCTCTTCCTTCTTTCTTTAGCCAAAATCCCACTCCCTTCTGAGGACATAGGTCTCTCTACCGGCAGCTTCCAAGGGAGCTAGTTTCTTCTCTGTCCACGTTGGGTAGGCGTCCTGGTTTCTCTTTCCTGCTTTCAGACCGTTGCTCCTCCATTCACCCTTGAGATTTCCCAACTTTTAATCTTATTTTAGCCATTCAATCAAATAGCCAATTAGTATTACACATAGCCATATATACACCCCTCATTATTTTTCTCATTACTAACCACTAGTTCTATTCCTCTTGGCTCAATAACACTCTGTTCCCAGCTCTAATCCTGTCTGTTATTCTTGAAACATTCAGTATGCCTATCATAATTTATCCTTCTAACAACCCTGCCTGAGTTCCGTGACCTATTGCATTGCTCTTGTCATCTATTCTGTTTCAGCCACTTCTCTTTTCAGAATTATAACCTTAATCGACCAATTCCCGCTCCTGTGATCCTTCTGTAATCTCAGTGTCTCGAAGATGCAATCTGTCTGCCACCTTTTAACTTTGAACCTCGCCTGCCCTGTTGCAATTCCCACTAGCAGCCTCTAATCCATTGAACATCCTACTTTTTCACTATCCACCAATCCCTAGAGTAAGTATGTATCTTCCTCTTTCAATTTAAATTTCATGATTAATGATAATAATCACCCCCATCATATAGATCTTATTTTTCTTGCTTCTTTCTTACTTCATCAAACTGATTTGTCAAAACCATACCCTAGTTAAATTTTACTCTTAAACCATTCTATGTTTATATCTCTGAGGCTGAAAAAAACAATTATGTTAATTGATCTGATTTTGAATCATGACCACAAACCTGGCTGCTGCAATTTGCCACTTTACTTCCTCTCTCACTTTGCTGGTTAAATATTCCACACCCTCTTACCTTCCAACTTTTCACACCTCCCACGGCAGCACTCATATACAGTTGATAACTATATTTCCTATTCCTCTGAAACAAATGAAAACTCAAAAAGAACCAGAGGCTCCTACAACCACATTTACCCACCCACCAGCATCTGTACTCATATACTGAATTATCTGTTTTCCTCTCCAGATCACCCACTCAGACTTCACTCTAGCCTCTCTCTCGCTCTCACTCTCTTGCGCGCTCTCTCTCTCTCATCATTCCTCTACCATTTTCAATGGATCACTCACCTCATGCTCTTAGAAATCTTTCTCCTGACTCATTTTGCCTCAACTTCCCATTCCTCCTCTTGGAGGGCACCGGAATACACTCTGCGCCTGTTACAGATTTGTGCTTTAGAGCAGACAATGCGTATTTCCAACTTTCCGTTACACGCAAGGTCGCCGTGACCTACTGTTAGGCCACCTCTCCGTCTGGATATCCAGTAGACATCTCGAGCTGAAGGCAGGGAGGCCTGCGCTTCTTTTGTTCCCCCACGGCCTGCAGTCACTCTCATCTCCGTGGTGCCCATGCCAATCTTGGTGCCATGCCTGACTTTTCTCTTGTATTCCTCCTCTTCACCACCCCCTGTAGTCTGCAACATACCCATCAGGTCCCCTGATTCTACTCTGGGTCGCTTCTATTCCCATGGGTGGTTTCATCAGAGCAGCCAATGGGAATGTATTAAAAAAAAAAAAAAAGCCATAGCATGTAACTCCTCCGTTCAAAATCCTTTAGTGCCTCCCCATTGCTCACTCATAGAGGAAGACGTAGTCCTCATGATGACCTGGAAGCCGCTATACCAGTCTGGCCCCATGACTCCTCCCCCTTCTCTTCTCCTCTTCCCCGCCGTGCTGGGTGAGTTGCAGCCACGCTGTTCTCTTTAATTCTCCTCAGCACATGGGCCCTCCACTTTCCTCAGGCCTTTTCACCGTTTATTCTCTTTGCTTGAACACATTGCTAATTTTCTCATCTTCTGGGTTTGTCTCAAATGCCAATTTTTAAAAAGGCCTACCCTTGCCTCTTAACAAATGTGCACCCTTGGTATTTGTGAGCCCCCAACTCTATTAGCCAGTCCACATTCAAGGTATATTATACTCATATGCATGGATTTCAACCAAAATAAAGTTATCTTTTAATTTCACTCTTCCACCAATTTTGAAGTATCCTCATATATTTTAGTTATTAATTGTATTTAGTGTTTAACTTCCTGAACTAAAATGTTAGCTTTATGAGGAAAAGGATTTTATTCTTTGAACTAGCCCCAAAATCTAGGCTAGAGCCTAGAGCAAAACATGTAATCAAGAATTGATTAAATATATTTGAACTTAGAGCTTATAATAATTATGAAAATAATCTGGAAATGCGTGTGCATTTATGTGCACCATACATGTGTGAAACAAAAGATCTTCAAAAACATGCGGTTTAGTGGTTTCCCTATGTATTTTTTTTCTTTTGGAACTATAACTGCAAGGATTGTTTCAAACAAAATTAAAACATAAACTAACTATGGAATAGATAAGTACATTTTTATTGCTTGGGCATTTGAAGTCTTTGTTACTTTTGTTTTGCAGAAAAATGTATTTTTGCTGTTGTTCCTTTGTTTGCAGAAGATATTCCTCAGTGCTTTTCTTCAAGGGTGGTCTCCTTGTACAGCTGAAAAAACTGAGGCCTGAGAGGTTGTGTGACTTCTCCAGGGATCCACAGCCGTGGACCGACGTGGGCACAGACAGCCTGCCCGCGCCGGGCTCATCTCTAATTCCCTGCCTTGTTCCTCCCTGCACATTGAAAAGAGGCAACGCTCGGGAAGCGTGCAGTTATGACTGCCTGAATTTTCTTCCTGCTCACGGAGGTTTCTGTTACTTCTTTCTTAGGCGGACACAGGCAAGAATCTAGTCACGCTGCCCAACACAACTGCCACGGCGATTCTGTGCAGCGATGAGACCATCTGGCTGGAACCTGAGGTTCTCTTTTCAGGACCTCGCCAAGGTAAAATGGTCTAGAGAAAAAGCTCACACAGGAGGGCACAAGTGTTCCATTTGGAGACGTCAAGTGAATTTTCCTAAGCCTGTGCTCTGTTTTGTAGCATTTGAGTTTCCTCAAATCAATTACCAGAAGTACGGCGGGAAACCTTATACATACGCGTATGGACTTGGCCTGAATCACTTCGTTCCCGACAGGGTAATTAATCCATCTTCCTAACATTACAGCAGTGTTTTTGCAACAGTTGCTAGTTAAGCAATGCACATTGACTTTTTTTTTTGTCTTATAATCAGCTCTGTAAGCTGAACGTCAAAACTAAAGAGACCTGGGTATGGCAAGAGCCGGATTCATACCCATCAGAACCCATCTTTGTTTCTCATCCAGATGCCTTGGAGGAAGATGATGGTAATGACAGCAGTGGATGGGTCTAAACACTCTTTTTAGAGGATTTCTGTGTATTAGCTCAATTACTGCCTCATATTCTGAAACAATTCTTTTTTTTTTTAAAAAAAAAGTATATTTAAGGGATAAAACTATATATATTTGATACACATATATGTATACACATTTGAGGAATAGCAAAACAGGCAGGCAGAAAACTCCTATCCTCTGATTTAATCCCAAATGTACACAATGGCCCTGAGCCCAACTGGGGACTGAAGCCAGGAGCAGGGATCTCAATCCAGGTATGCCACGTGAGCAACAAGAACCCAATGACTTGAGTTATCACCCCTGCCCTCTAAGTCTTCAATAGCAGGAAGCTAGTATCAGGAACAGGTGCCAAGAATTTAACCCAGACATATGGGACATGGACTTCTTTTTTTTTTTTTTTTGATTAATTTATTTGAAAGGCAGGGTTACAGAGAGGCAGAGGCAGAAAGAGAGAGAGAAAGAAAGAGAGAGAGGTCTTCCATCTGCTGGTTCATTACCCAAATGGCTACAATGGCCAGAACTGGGCCAAACGGAAGCCAGTAGCCAGGAGCTTTTTCTGGGTCTCCCATGTTGAGTACAGGGGCCAAAGAACTTGGGCCATCTTCCACTGCTTTCCAGGCCATAGCAGAGAGCTGGATCGTAAGGGGAGCAGCCAGGACTTGAACCAGCATCCATATGGGATGCCAGCACTGCAGGCGGTGGCTTTACCCGCTGAACCACAGCGCAGTCCCGAGGACATGGACTTCTTAACCGGCATCTTAACCACTGGGTTAAATCCCTGATCCAGAAATGATTCTCAGTATTGTAAATGGGACAGTACAAAGAAGTTAAACTTACTTGAAAGTAGGCTTCATCTTGTGGTTAGGTCTTATTGACTACTTGTAAAAAAAAATTCTAAGCATCACTGTCTAGATGAGAGAGAAGAAGAAATAGCAGCATGAAATCTAGGTGTTTTTTTGTTTGTTTGTTTGTTTTTTTGTTTTTTTGTTTTTTTGTTTTTTGTTTTTTTTTTTTTTTTTTTTTGCCTTTTCCAACCAAGACCTATTTCTGATAAAGGACAAAGAAGGAAACTGAGAATTCTGGAGGATCGAAGAGGCAAATTCATGCTTGTGACTGTAGTTTTGATTTGTTCTTTTAAAAACCTGAAGCTAGAGAGGGATCCAGAGCCATAGCCTATAATGTGAAGTTAGTTTAAACAATTCATAGAATAAGAAGATTAAAAGATAAGTCTACTTTGGTAAAAAAAAAAAATTGAATTTCATGAATAATTTTCTCATAATACAAAATTTTTCATAAACTTTTAAAAGAACAATCATATTTATAGATTTGAAAAAATTTTTGCACAAAAGTAAATTTAGCATTTAGTTCTGCTTTCCAGAAGTATCCTCATACAATAACTCCATTACAAAGCATCAGTCTTAGTTAATTATTGATGATAGAGATAGATTATACTTTTTAGGATTAAAATGTGGGTAACCATAGAGAAATGAGACAAAGAATTGTGGAGCCACATCATGCTAAATGATTTTACATAAGTCCAGTCAAAACTGCAAAAAGTTTGTTCTTTTGTTTGAAGGAAGTCAGTTTCCAGACAATTCTTAGAAATCAGATATATTATATCTTACTTTCAAAGTCTCTTAATATAGACTTTTTTGATTACCATAACATTGTTTCTGGCAGTGAGTAAAGCAGACATTTTATTCTCATGTTATAGATAAGAACACAGATCCATTCATTCCATAGTATTTAATGAGTACCTGCTATGTTCTAGGTAGGATATTGAGATACAACAGTGAGTGAATGACCCCTTTCCTGGAGTGATAGTGTAGGGAACAGGATGAGTTAAAAGACTTAGAAAAGTCAGAAATGAAATTGAGTCAAGTGGCTGTTTTTATTTAATCAAGGTAATTCCACTTAAATTATTTCAATTATGTTTAATTATTCCAATTTTGTTTAGTCTGTGAGCCTGGGCTTTTTAAGATTCACTGCTGCCTTATTTACTTCTTATTAACAGGTGTAGTTCTGAGTGTGGTGGTAAGCCCTGGGGCAGGGCAAAAGCCTGCTTATCTCCTGATTCTGAATGCCAAGGACTTGAGTGAAGTTGCCAGGGCTGAAGTGGAGATTAACATCCCTGTCACCTTTCATGGACTATTCAAAAAATCATGAGCATATTCTCATAAGATATGTCTCCAGTGACAAAACTAAGGAAACAGCTTCAGGTCTGCAATCAAATTCTGTTCAGTTTCAGCCTGCTGTATGTCCTGGTTTTAACTTCCAGATGCACCCAGTTTTGCAATGTTTTATGGAAATCGCTGAGTTGAACAAGCAATTCCTTTTTAGTTTTTTTTAAAGTACATAGTGAGATCATCATCCTTTCTCTGTTAGACCATATCTGAAAAGCTCTTTTGAATCTTTAGCAATCAAATAGGATATGAATATAGGCTTATCAAACTGCTTTTTATTTCTGTTATGAAGTGCATTTTAGGTACCTTGTCTGCTCCAATTAATTTTTTACACTTAAAAACCAAAATCCTCTACACCTGATTTGTATGTGGCTTTGATGAATCAACACAGTATCATGCAAAAAAGCTAATTACTAAATTCTGAAACCAGGGACTATCATCTAACAGTAATCATAATAAATGTTTTGCACATATGTGACAGTGTGAAGATTCTCAAGCTTATGAACTCTAACCTTTCCATTTTATATTGACAATTACTATAATTTCTGATTTTATAATGAGGAAACCTATGTCTAATCAACTGAGGCCTGTCAAATAAAAGATGTCTCAGTGATTAAGCAACATATTAAAAGCATATTGAATATGAAACAAGTAAATGTAGTAGTGACTATTTTTTTTGAAAAATAGAAATAAAATCTTTACAAATATATCTACTTCAAATCTGATTATGATGTAATATTTTGGGGGTTATACTGTGTTGCCACTTCTGGTTAATGATAGTTAAGCACTCTGCAATCGCCTCACTGGAGAACATAATATATCATCAACATTCTGATATTAATACATTTTAAGTACTTTTAGTTTTAAATTACCCCTTTATGTGCTGCAGATTGCAAAAAATGGATATTGACAAAGAATCATATTGTACATTTTACTCTTGGTATATATCTTATGCCTGAAAGCATCGTGTATCATTATACTTAACATGATCAACCTCATGTTTCATTAGGTAACAATAGCTTGAAGGAACAGACTGACCATGAGACTTGATGCTTCCATTTGATTTCTTTACTTATAGATGCAAACCCATTTTTAAAATTAGAAATATTCATTAAAATATACTTTTCAAAGAAAATATAAAAATGCAGGAAGGTAGAAATTATAAAGTAAAATCATACATTTTTAAATGACTTATTATTTGGGTACTAGTCTTTTCCTTCTTTTTTCCCCTGTAGATTTTTAATGAAATAATTATTCACACATTGCTAATCTCCAAGTAGAACTAGAAATTTCCCCACAAAAAGGGAAAGTGAAGGTGAGAGGGGAATGTCAGAGAATTACGTGTCACTTTAAAAAATATTAATTCTTTTTTGTCTCTAGACATGGCATGTGGATAGAATTCCACAAAGAAAGCCACTTGCCCCTTATTTTAAAAATGTAGAAAATAAATTACTGAAAAATGACTAAGATTTAAACTTCAGGTCACTGAATTGAAAAGAGAAGAATTCCTACTCTTGCCCTTCCTACACTTTATTTTAATATAGTTTTAAAGATTTATTAATCTGTTTGAAAGGCCAAGTTATACAGAAAGAAAGGGGACTGAGAGAGAGAGAGGCTTTCCACTGGATCACTCCTCAAATGACTGCAATGGCTGGAGCTGGGCCAGTCCAAAGCCAGGAGCTTCTTCCAGGTCTCCCACGTGGTACAGGGGCCCAAGTATTTGGACTATCTTCTGCTGCTTTTCCAGGCACATTAGCAAGGAGCTGGATGGTAAGTGGAGCAGCCAGGACTTGAACTGGTGTCCATATTTGTGGCTGGCATTGTAGGCAGCAACTTTATTCAATACACTACAATGCCAGCCCCCACTTCCTACACTTTTCAATCTATCAGTCCCTTCTTGGTTCCTTCCTATTCATTTTCCGTGAAGCAAATCTCACAATTCAGGGTGCTCATATCTCCTGCTAGTATATGATCCTCTGCTGACATCACCACAGAGCAAAGAAGGGAGAGAGGCATATCTAATAGAAACAATGTTCTGCCAATGCCATTTCACCAAACTTAGGAATCTCTGCCACAATCATTGATAATGTCCCAGTAAGAAGGCTTAAAAGTTGCTTTTCAAGTTCAAAGCTAGAATCTACATTTTAAGAGCTAAATTAGAATAACGGAATTTAAGTCAGGCAAGACATTAACTTGTAAATTCGGATTGAATAAGTTAAGGATCCTGCTTTCTAGGGAACAGCTACCTATCTGGGGAATTAGAGAACTGCACAACCTATAAACAAATAAATCCACTTTAAGGGAAGAAATTCCATTAAGTTATAAACATGAACCTGCTATTAACTACTTATTTGGAAATAACATCTTGTTTGGAATCAGTGCTTTATTCCATTTTGGGTGTATTATATTTTTTCATAGCTAAGGGGAAAAGATAATAAAACTTTTGAGATAATAGCATCAGGAGGTAACTGGTAACTGATAATTTTCTTATGGCAAACAGTCTAGGCAAATTTCTTTTACTATATAGTAAAGCAGAAAATATCAACAGACATCAAAAGGAATCTACCTTTTGAAGAATTCTATGGTAATAGCACTCTGTAATCCCACAGCTGGAGTATAATGCAGTGCTTTCTTCTGTCAGCCTATTAGGCAGAGTTTCAGTGATGAGAGATTATAGACACATCCTTTAAGGAACAGAATATCTGGTAAAACTCAGTATCAATGGGAAAATAATCTCTGCAAATTAGGAAAAACAAAAAAACTCAGGCTGATTGACTACCGATAGTGTGCTTAGTAGTTTCAGTCCTAGTACCACGTTCATCATGGTGCTGTCTGCCATTTTAAAGATGAAGAAAGAAAAATCAAGTTATTTTTTTCAAATGAGTAGAATGAGTAGTAAAATTTAAACTGAACTCTAGACTGAAATGAAATATTTTACCCCTGAAAATTTGGTTTTTGATATCATATGAATTTTCCCTATTAATTTAAAATTTTATTTCAAATACAACAACTATCATACTACTTAGTCATCTGGCCTAGGACAAGAGATTTTTGATTGTTTAGTAATTCTTACTGTTAGTTAATAATACAAAATGTCCCTTGAATTATAGTTACCACACACAAAGTATTTGTTAATGTGAGATATTCTATTAATTAGTCTCTAAAAAATCATATGTGTAGAATCGATCGCCCTGTTTCGCCAGAAAGGAAAATGAAGCCCATAGAGTTAATTATCTCGATCAATTTCCACACAGAACTAGAATGTGATTCCAAATACCTTCTGTATTTGTCGAACACTATAAACTAGTAGGTGAAATAGTTCACAGTTTCTACTTTACATCACTGTCTTTCATCACTATTATCGTCACTATTTTAAGAGGCTACATTTTGGTAGTTGCTGTGAAAATGCCAAGTGCCATACAAAAATCAAACAAAAGAGGAAACGATGATACCAAAATCCAATCTGTTTTCAATGAATGAGGAGTTGAGCACTGCCAACATAGAAATTTAGAACAATGATATCTATCATGTCATTTCAATTTAACCACTACATAAACATAACTCTTAGGCATTTGTTTTGGCCTAGGAATGCCATAAAAATCACTAAGACATAAAAGGCTTCTTAAACCAAGGAAGTTTGGAACTCTACATGTAAAACTCTGGCTTTTAATTTAGTTTATAGAGTTTTAACCTCATAGTACCCAGTCCAGAGAGATGTGACTAAAATAAATTCATCTTCAGAACAAATAATTTTGATCAGTTCTTATATTGAATTTACATTTTATTTTTAAAATAAAATATTTTAATTTAAATTTAAATAAATAATTTAATTTAAATAAAAATAAAAATATAAGTAAGATAAAACAAACATATCCAATATTTCTGGGATGTATTTGCCAATGGAATGCTATAAGGGAGAAAGTAAATAACATATCCCAATCTTATTCAAAGGCACAACGCTTTTTTATTAAAACATATATTATATTAGAATATATCATGAGATATGTGTTACAAGGAACACAATAGATGGCTGATAAACATGAGTTTTAAATTAAAATATTGGCCGGCGCCGCGGCTCACTAGGCTAATCCTCCACCTAGTGGCGCCGGCACACCAGGTTCTAGTCCCGGTCGGGGCGCCGGATTCTGTCCCGGTTGCCCCTCTTCCAGGCCAGCTCTCTGCTGTGGACCAGGAGTGCAGTGGAGGATGGCCCAAGTACTTGGGCCCTGCACCCATGGGAGACCAGGAGAAGCACCTGGCTCCTGCCATGGGATCAGCGCGGTGCGCCGGCCACAGCGCACCAGCTGTGGTGGCCATTGGAGGGTGAACCAATGGCAAAAGGAAGATCTTTCTCTCTGTCTCTCTCTCTCACTATCCACTCTGCCTGTCAAAAATAAATAAATAAATAAAATATTAATTGTAATTCCTAAAGTAACTACTAAAAAATTCAAAAGTACAGCAAAAGGAACTGCAAAGAATTAAAATAAGACATTACAGAATTTTACTTTATGCAAAAGAAAACAGTAATGGAGGAAAAAGGGGCTAAAAATGATAAAATATAGAAAAATAACAATGGCAGACAGAAATCATCTTATAGATAATTACATTAAATATGAATACATTAAACACTCCAATCATAAGAAAGAGATTGGCAAGTGGTACAAGTATTTTTTAAGGTTTATTTATTTAGGATGCTGGCACTGTGGTGCAGTGTGTTAAAGCCCTGGCCTGAAGTGCCGACATCCCATATGGGCGCCAGTTCGAGTCCTGGCTGCTCCTCTTCAATCCAGCTCTCTGCTATGGCCTGAGAAAGCAGTAGAAGATGGCCCAAGTCCTTGGGCCCCTGCACCCACATGGGAGACTGGGAGGAAGCTCCTGGCTCTGGCTTAGGATAGATGCAGCTCCGGCGTTTGCAGCCATCTGGGGAGTGAACCAGTGGATGGAAAACCTCTCTCTATGTCTCTACCTCTCTGTGTAACTCTTTCAAAAAAAAAAAAAAAAAAAAAAACGGCTCACGTGAGAACGTGGGATGCCAGCATCCCAGGCAGCAGCTTAACCTGCTTTGCCACAATGTTAACCTTTATTAAAAAAAAGAGAGAGAAAGATTATTTATTTATTTATTGTTGGAAATGCAGAGCAACAAGAGAAAGAGAAAGAAAGAGGGGGAGAGAGAGATTTCCAGTCTCCTGTTTCACTCTACAAATAGGCAGGGAGTGACACTGGGCGAGGCCAAAGGTAGCTGCCAGTAAATCCATCTTGGTCTCCCACATGGGTGCCAAGGACCCAAGAACCAAGTTCATCTTCTGCTGCCTTTTCAGGCCATTAGCAAGAAGGTGGCTTGGAAGCAGAGTGGCTGGGACTCAAATCAGCATTTTGATATGGGATGCAGATATCAAATCAACAATTTAACCCACTGCAACATAATACTTACTCCTATACATGCATTTGTTAAATAATGATATTCTGTCTACAAACAGTGCTCTTTAGATTTGAAGGCACAAATATGTCCAAAGCAAAAGGATAAAACATGCAAAAAGTAACCAAAAGAGAACTGGAGAGGCTACAATAATATCAGACAAAATAGAATTAACATTAGAATTTTTACTAGAGATAAAGAAAGTTTTTAATTATAAAGGGGTCAGTCAAAAACACACAATAATTATTATCATATATCCAACTAACGGATTTCCAAAATAAATTAAGAAAAGCAGAA